CCAGATTGACATTTTTATTACATGCCTCTTACTATTGCTATTACAAAACGATCAATCAAATTGGCAATATTTCCCTGTCCAACTCATTTTACGTAGGGTTTCTATTCATAATACAAATTCTTATTCAAATTATTCGTAATACAAGTTGACCTTAATTCGAATTAATTCAAATAAAATTTATTCAAGTTGTTCATTTCATTGAAGTTGTTTTACTTGAACTTGAGTTATTTCTTGAATATCTAAATTATACAACAAGAAATATACAAACTACAATCATTATACTCATCCAAATCATTAATTCTGCATCTCTCTATCATAATCATATGAAGCTATGTTTAAATTATCATCATAGTTATTACTATCCAAGTCATGAACATCTGAAGAATATCCTTCTCATTATACAAGGTCATATCTTATTAATTGTAAAAAAATTAACAGATAAAAAAATTAATTCGATTAAATTTTTATTCGAATAATTATTTTAATAATAATGATGATAATTCAAATAATTCAAATAAATATTATTCAAATAGAAACCTTACCATGGATATTTATAGCTTCAGTCATTTTTTTAGTTCGCATAATTGTAGATCCATTGGCTGATTTTATTCCACTGCAACCAGCATTGATAATTATGGTCTTGATTGAATTTTCCAGGTTATTTCTGGCATTGAGATTGCAATTGCTGACTTAAAGGGATTTTATAGTGACATTGATGGAAAAATAGAGGTGCAGAAAGTTTTTCATGAATACCAGAATTTTTTCCCACATGTAAATACATTGTTCAAGACGGAATAGAGGTAAATTTACTTACACAGAACACATTTCCAGAAGTGTGTACAAGACAAAGGTTCCTGACAAAGATTTGGATATTGTTAAATTCTCTAGAGGATACAATGCTAATGGTAAGTAATACCATTTGTAGATATGGATCCTAAATTTAATGTAAAACTAAATAACTATTGATAAGTTCACGAAATTTGTCTCGTCTTTCTCCCTCTATATGGTAAACATCTGTCATTGCTTCAATAAATTTTGCCACAATGATGTGAGAGTCAAATTCCAACTCTATTGTTTTACAATCATCAATAAAATTTGCAAACACAGGATGGTAAAGCACAAATGGAGGAGGTTGGAGTGATTGTGGATAACTATTATAAAGCAGTTTATGTTTTTGCACATGAATATAAAAAACATTATCAAACTAGAGTGACGACGAGTGACGATAACCACCACTACCATTCTTTTGATTAACACTTGCCCGTTTCTCGTTTCATTATTCTTTGGCATCTTTAAAAAAAAATTTTTTAGTTAGTTATTAGATCGACAAAACACGTACACACATTTAAAGGCTGTATAATATTAAACAGTCGCCAGATATATTTAACGTAATTTGTATTAAAGAGATCACCACGTGTAACAATGTAACATTTTTTATCGATTTTTGACAGACTAAAAAAAAATTATCATAATAGTAATGATGTTTTCACCTCCTATACAACGTGGAATTAAGGCTCTTGATAAAGAATTATTTAAGCGTACTATTGAGGTTATAGGTGTCCGTGTTCCTATAAATTCCATATCAAAATTTACAAAAACATTAAAAGAGTAAGTTTATAATTATAAACAGTATAAATATATCTATCTTTCATACATTTATCAATCAATTATTTTTTAGAGATCTATTTAATCAGCCAAAATTAAGAAATGTTATTGATGATCCAAATTCAAATTCAACCAAAATAGTTTTATTAAATCCAAAAGTTAAAACATTAGAACTTGATAATATTTCTGAAGAGACTAAAGAGTTTATAAAGAAGGAAGGAAATGGAATTATAAGTCATTCAGTTGAATTAAATTATGATTATTGGAGTGCTGGTATGTGTGTATATATATATATATATATATGGCTGATTGACTTGATTGACTTGATTTATTTGATTGATTAAATGATTTTAATATAGATGATATTCTTAAAGCAATATTACCTGAAGGAGTTGAAGTACCATCATCATTTACACAAGTTGGTCACATAGGTAAAAGATTTAGTAGTGATGATACTATTAGTGGTAGTGGTAATATTAATAATGATATTAGTAGTAGAATTGAAACAAACAAAATACTTGAGAATATTTATTTAATTGTATGATATAGCACACATGAATTTACGTGATGAATTTATACCTTGGAAATATATAATTAGTCAAGTTGTTCTTGATGTAACTATCTATAATTAGATATTGTTAATAGTAATAATTGTCATTATTATTATTGGAAATTTTTAAAAAGAATTATATTATTAATTTTTTTGAAATTATATATATGGTATATAGAAGAATTCCAAAATCGCCACAGTTGTTAATAAAACAGATATGATTGATTCTACTTTTAGACATTTTAAAATGGAAATCTTGGCAGGAGAACATAATTTGATGGCCGAAGTGGTTAGTTTTTTCTTTTTTTACATTTTATATACTTGTATAATTTATATATTCATTTATTCATTATATGAGTTAATTAAATGTTAGAAAGAAAGTAATTGTAAATTTAGATTTGATTTTTCTAAAGTCTATTGGAATTCACGATTACATACAGAACATGATCGTATAATAAAAATGTTTAAAAAAGGAGATTATATATGTAATTATATTTATATATATTTGCTTTTTTGTATATATATTCTATTTAAAAAATTTTCCAATTGAATTAAGGCGATGTTTTTGCTGGAGTTGGTCCATTTTCAATTCCTGCTGCAAAAAAAGGATGCATTGTTTATGCAAATGATCTTAATCCTGAATCGTACAAATATCTTCAAGAAAATATTTTACTGAACAAGGTAACAATAATGTTATTAGTAATAACAATATAGTAATGTTAATGTTAATGTTAATGTTAATGTTAATGTTAATGTTAATGTTAAAATAAATAATATATTGATAATAAATAAACTATTATTAACTATTTCTTGGTAATATATAGGTAAAAGATAAAGTTCATCCATACAATTTAGATGGAAGAGAGTTTATAAAAAATGCTTCAGAAAACTTGAGACCATCATCAGATTCATCAAATTTTCGAATTTTTGATCATTTTGTAATGAATTTACCTGCATCTGCTATAGAATTTTTAGGTTAATTACTACAATTATTACAATTATTATGACTTATATTTATTTATCATGCATATACATATAGTAAATTAATGTATATATGTATATAGATGTATTTAAAGGATTATATACAGGTCAAGAGAAAGAAATAAGAAATTCAAAAATAAATTTACCAACTATACATTGTCATTGTTTTTCAAAAAGCGAGAATCCTAAACAAGAGATTATACAAGTATGTTCTTATTTTATATATTTATTTTATGTGTTATTTATTTTTGTTAAAAATAACTACATATTAATAGGCATTAGTCGTCAATCATAAACTTCCTTTTTCTTTGTCACTAACTACTATGTTAATTTTTTTTTAAAAAAAAGAGAATCAACAAAATTTTGGAAATGCCATTAGAAAAATCTAATGATGGTGGCATTGATAAATATAATATACATTTTGTTAGAAAAGTTGCACCAAATAAAGATATGTTTTGTATTAGTTTTCAATTAACTGATGAAATTGCTTTTAGAAACACAACAACAACAACAACAACAACAACAACAACAACAACAACAACAACAACAACAACAAAAAAGTAAGTGAATGATGAATAATTGAGTTGATTATTTGTTTTAAATAAATTAATATATATATTTTTTTATACAGAACAACAAAATCTAACGATAACAATGATAATAGTAAAGATGATAATGTTAAAGCTAAAAAAACTAAATTGGAATAAAAATTCATAATTGTTTTTGCATTCACACATTATTTACGTATCATACATAAATAAAAAAATTTATTATTAAAATGACAAAAAAGAAAACATGTTGCATTTGCTTCTGAGCATCTATTAAGTATATAGAAAACTGTAAAGATTATTATCAAATATAAGAATAATCTGAGGAAGTAGAATCTGAAGAGAAATAGAAGAAATTGTGAATGGAAAGGCAAACACAAACATAAATGCAAATTTTGCTTCTGAGTGTCTGTTAAGAGAAATTAAATAGAAAGTTGTAAAACTATTATCAAATTAAAGAAGTAGAATTTGAAGTCCAAGAAATTGCGAATGCAAATACAAATATAATTGCAATTATTGGAAATGATTTAATCTTAAACGAATGAGCTGAAGGAACATACAGAACATACAGAGCAAAGAAAACTCAACTTTTACTAAACAGGATTGGGAGAATGAAATGAAAAAAAAACAAGATGCTTCTTATGATTAATGAAAGTTATTTTTTTCTTGATCAAAAAGTTCGACGTAGGCGTGAGAGATTAATTAATACAATCAATGTTATCATGGGATAGATAAGATATTTGATCTTTTTTTATCTCACTATCTACACCTACACCACAAAACAAAGACAATGCTTAAGGAATAAACCTATATCTAAACTTAATACAGTCAGAAATGCTTTGATTAAACGAATATACACGATAAACCGATGTTTTTTTATCATCTACCTATTAAAATTTATCTCTATAAGCCAATTTTATTGAGGTTTTTTAAACCAGATTTTTTCACTGGAACCAATCAATTTTTTGATAGTTTTTACTTGTGCCAAAAAAAACATAAAAATTGCTTTACCTGATTTGGAAATTTTTATTTTAAGCAAACAAGTCTTGATGTAATAAATAGTTATTTTTTTTCAATCAATTTCCCGTTATAAAAAAAAGTTTTTTTTGAATTGATCAGCAACATGTCAACTCAGACTTCGTTTTAAACCAATTATTTGAATTGTTATTTCAGTAATTCAAATATTTTTATTGATTACATTTTAATTTATCATGTCAATTCCATTTCAATTCAAACACTATCATCATTTGACACTGTCATTAAATGGGGTTACACATATCGTAAAAGGGTGTTACATTTATGTTTTTGATATATATTAATAGTGAGTGCCATAATTAATTTCTGCTTTCTACCATCAAAATTTGAATAATTTTGACCATCGAAATCACCAAACTAATTTGGGCTGTATGTACAGTAGGGAATCAAAAATCAAGCCAACAAAAGCTCCCAATGATGATGAAGTAGAGAAAAACACAAAAAAAAATATACAGCCAAACCTTGCCACAGCGGATTTATGGTTCCAGACAAAAAAAAAATCCGTTATAACAAGAAATCTGCTGTGGCAAAATTGTTGATGATCGGCAAAAATTTTTTAATAAAATAATCTAAAATACAAATAATTGTAATATTTGGTTGTATTAGTCTTTCATTATCTAATAATTCCTTTTTTTTTTTTTCAATGATTTAAATCTTTAAATTCTTTATAATCTAATTGACTTTATTATGAATCTTTGAAAAAACGATCTTGTTTTGTTTATTGTTTTAAAAATTGATAAATAATCTATTACTCACACATTTGGATAAATAATCTATCAACTGTTTTATTTTAGAAAATCGGAAATTTTTGTTACTTGCACACATTCGGATAAATAATCTATCAATTGTTTGTTTATTAATTTATTTTAGTAACTTGGAAAATTTGTTACTCACGAAAATTTGGACAAACAATCTATCTATCAATTGTTTATTTACTGATTTATTTTAGAAACCTGGAAAAGGTTGTTACTCAGACAACTATCAACTGTTTGTTTATTGATTTATTTTAGAAAATTTGTTACTTGCAAACTTTTGGACAAATAACCTAACAATTATTTGTTTATCGATTTATTTTAGAAACTCGGAAAAAATTATTACTCGCAAACATTTGGACAAATAATCTATCAATCGTTTGTATTGGCTTATTTTAGAAAATTTGTTACTTGCAAACTTTTGGACAAATAATCTATCAATCGTTTGTATTGGCTTATTTTAGAAAATTTGTTACTCGCAAACATTTGGACAAATAATCTATCAATCATTTGTATTGGCTTATTTTAAAAAATTTGTTGCTTGTAAATCTTTGGATTGTTTGTTTTATTGCTTTATTTTGATACTGACCTTTGATTAAAAAATAATCTATTTGATTGTTTGCTTTATTATTTTGTTTTATGCATTTTTTGTAATTGGAAAAATTTCATAAGTTTATATGTCATGTGAGTCCACTGTGATAAGACTAGTAGCCATATAGAAAGACCCCCATCAAAAATCCGTTAACGTTGTGGAACAAATTTATTAATAAAATCCGTTATGACAAACATTTTTAATTAATAAAAAAAAGGGGCCAATATTTAAATCCATTGTAACAAGAAATCTGTTGTTGTGGTGAGGTCTGCTGTGACAAGGTTTGACTGTATACCATATGTGAAGTCTTCTATAAAAGAAAAGCAATGGAGGACATAAACAAAGAACAACCAAAAAAAACCATGTAAATATTTACCATTTATCTGTCTCTATTTTTTTAGAAATAGAACCTAATATTTAGAACATCCTTGTTCAACTTGTAAGTGGACTGATCATTCATTTTCTTTAAGCAGCTGTTGTAAATTTCAAAAACATAATACATCCAAATCTGTTCAGGAAAAGGCGCAAAATACAAAACAATACACAGTCAAACTGGACTAGAAAAATCCCTTAAAGATAAAGATCTTGAGCCTGCAATCCAAAATACTGTTAAAAGAATGACTTGAATTGTTTTTGAAGGCTCTTGGTTGTCTAACCCAACAGCACTTTATCATGTGGTACAAATCAATTGAAAAAGTAGGAGTAACAACCATTCAAAGATTCAGAAACTTGTAGATGGAAGCATTTAATATTAATAAAGTCAACACTCAAAATCAAATCTCTGTTTACCCTGTATAAACTGATGGTATTGCAGTATCAGTTGGTCTGCAGAAGAAAGTTGATGATAATAAAGAGGATGCTGACGAAGAAGGATCAAATATTGATTTTAATGGATGCAAGGTATTTGGCTGGGCCCTGAAAGAATAGATCTGTTTGTAGCAGTGAGTTCAGATGAAAAAGTCGTGAGTTCATCAGGAAATTTTTTCTGGCATAATTTATATAATTATTAAAATATTTACATAAATTTATGATGGGTCCCATAATATTATGCAAAAAATTATACAAAAATTGTGCAATTATTACATTCAATGCAATTATTACATAATTTTTATGCAAATATTGCAACATTGCATATCAAAACTTATGGATGAAATATTATGGTGGGAAAAATTTCTCAACAAGGAATCTGGAACTTAATAGGGTTTGTTTGTTCTTGTAAAAAATGTGGAAAAAATAAATATCTTCAGGCTCTTATTCATGATGAACTAAGGTTGCTTGCCGAAACCTCTTAATGACTGCCGAAACTTTAATAAACAATTAGCATGTAACCTGCCAAAACTCTGCTAATTGTTGAAATCCCTAAATGTGAAACTCTGTCAAAACTCTAACAAACAATTAGTGTGTTACCTGCCAAAACTCTGCTGATTGATTTCCAGAGGAGTTTTGGCAAGCAGACATAGGGTGAACTAATACTTTGTTAATTTAATTTTGCTATTAAACAAGAATATCATTGAATAATATTACTACATACCTTTCACCTAAAACTAATATAAACCCAGAAATCCCAACCTCTGGTGTCACTAATGTCTATGAATATGGCTCTTACCTCACTTAAATTCTGTTATGCCTTGATACAATCCTTGATTTTTATGGTGAACATTATTGGTGTCATTTGTAATGGAAATCTTTTTATCAATAAGCAGAGATGCTCCATGCAAGAGAATAACAAATGGTAATGGTTACAATACAGCTGTTACATTCGGCAATGATAAATTATTATCAACATCATGCAGGCATGCTCCAGATTCTGTAAAAGAATTTCACTGAGAACTTTATAGACATTGAAAGATGGTGAACATTGACAAGGCCCTACACTCCCTCAGTCTGCTCTTTGTGTGATGGGTGGTTGATAAGTCAGAGTCTGCAAATTGGTCTGACTGATACATTGGAATCGGGATGTTAATGCTGACTGTAACATAAGGAACATTTTTTTGCACACAAGCACTTATGGAGAGAGACCTGATCTGTTTATAAAGGGGACTTACTGATCTTTCTGCTGCCATTTTAATTGTGGCGGGAGATCTCTAGCTGATGGAAGCAGCATGAAGCCGCAATTAGCTTTAGAGGGATTTGGATCTTCCTGATTTGGCATAATAAGGTTTACTTGCCCTATAAAAAATTTGGCACGGAAATGTATGGGAAAATGCATGGAATTTGTATGGAAAAATGCGAATTTCAGGTAAAATTCCGTGCGGTTTTCCGTACATTTTCCCATACATTTTCCCATACATTTCGGTGCCAATTTTTTATAGGGTTGTTAATTCACCAATATTAACTAATAGTGAAGTAAATTAATGAATAGAATATTTATTATTATAATTATTAAAGGTAATATTTGCCCATAACTTTTACTTCCGGCAATCATAAAAACCCACGTATTTGTTTTTAATTTTAATGGTCATTCATTGTTTGTAAAATTGACCAATTTTTGGTTTGTGGCGCAGCAAGTTGATGTTCAAAAATTCCTCCATAATTACCATATTAACTTTAATTTTCATATAAGACAATGGCTGACAGCCACTCTAACCAAATTTTGACCCTGAAATTTCTTTTTGAAATTATTATTATTATTATCAACTTATTTCTCTCAAGTTTCGAATTAAAATGACTTACACTAAAGATAAAATCAAAGAAATTGAACAACTATTAGAAAATGATGAACGCGTTAAAGTCGCTGGTATTTTTATCCTAGTTTTATATATAGATCTAGTTGATCATTTCTAAAAAAAAATTTAATTTCAGGCGTTGATGTTGATGGAATTCTTCGTGGCAAAATTCTTACAAAAAATAAATTTTTGTCAACTTTAGATGATGGATTTGGTAGGTGAATTTTTAAAACGTTACTTGATTTTAGTTTAGTTTATTTAATTCTTTTTTATATTTGTTGTATAGGTTTTTGTAGTGTGATTTTTGGTTGGGATATGCATGATCGAGCTTATTCTGAAGAACTTTCTATATCAAATTCAAATAATGGTTATTATTGATGATAAAATTCTATTTTTCATTTGGTTAATTGGTGGAAATAAAAATAATGCCTTTCTTAAACATTTTTCTCCCTCATGCTACATATTTGTTTATGCTTAAAAGGTTATGGAGATATTTTGGCAAAGGTAAATTAAATCTAAACATTATATTTAGTATATTTATTTATTTATTTATTTATTTATTTATTTATTTATTTATTTTCAGGTTGATTTATCAACTTTTCGTCGCATACCATGGGAAAACAATATCGCTTTTTTTCTACTGTCTTATTATGATCCTGTGACAAAGAAACCACTTTATGTTTGTCCACGTAGTTTACTAAATAAATTTATCAAAGAATATGAGTATTTAGGTAAATAAAATTAATTAATATTTAACCAAAAAGTGATTCTAAATGCTTTCTTAAGATTATTTTTTTCACGTTGGAATTCCTTTTTTTCTTTTAATTTATAGGATTACAACCAATGTGTGGTGCAGAATTTGAATTTTTTAATTTTAAAGGTAATTTTGAAGTTGAAATTTCAAATTCAGTAATAAAGCGATCATATATATGTGTATTTATGCTCTGATATTGTCATTATAGAGGATCCTAATTCATTAGCAAAAAAAAATTATGTCTCACCAACTCCATTAACTCAAGGAATGTTTGGTTATTGTAAGTGAATATTGATTTAACTTAAAAACTTCAATGGTTTTGTTTTCAAACAATAATTATATTAAATTTTTTTTGGGGGTTTTTTTTTGAATAGCATTATTACGCCCAACTTCAAATCAAAGTTATTTTTATGATATATTTGATGAACTTAAAGCTTTTGGCGTATCTTTAGAAGGATTACACACAGAAACAGGTTATTAATTTTTTTCTAAAAAAATAAATAATAAAACATGATTGGAACTTAGATAATTATAATAAAATTATTGTATAAATAGGGCCTGGTGTTTATGAAGCAGCAATTTCATATTCAACAGCTATGAATATGGCAGATTCAGCTACTCTTTTTAAATCAGCAACAAAACAAATTGGTATCTTAAAATATGGAATTATGCCATGTTTTATGGCTAAACCATATGACAATTTACCTGGTTGTTCAGGCCATTTGCATTTTTCACTTTTAAATATTGAAACAAGTAAAAATGTTTTTGCTAAAAGTTTTGGTTCTAGTGACTGTGAACAAAATCAGGAAAGCCAAGAATTAAAATGGCAAGATGCCAAAGAAATGAGTGATGAAATGAAATATTTTTTAGCAGGTGTATTGATTGGTCTACCAAGTATTATGCCAATGTTGGCACCTACTATTAACAGGTATTATATATATAGTAATATGTTTTATATTATTTAAAAATTTATTAAATTACACACACATATATGTACACATATAGCTATAAACGATTAGTAGAAAATTATTGGGCACCGATTAATGTTTCATGGGGTTTAGAAAATAGAACAGCTGCAGTTAGAGTGATCACCCCACCAATTTCTTCACCATCATCTACACGCATTGAATTGAGAGTACCAGGAGCTGATATTAATCCATATTTTGCAATTGCTGCAACATTGGCATGTGGCTTGTATGGAATTAAAAATAAGCTTCCAATACCTATTCCACCTGAATCTGATCTTTCAACCACTAATAAAGTAGATGGTAAAGCAGTAGATGGTGAAATATTGAGATCAAGAAAATTGGCAAGAAGTTTAAAAGAGGCAACAGATAAAATGATGGAAAAAAATTCTATTGCTAGAAAAGTTTTAGGTGATGAGTTTGTGGATCATTTTGGTAAAACTAGATTACATGAATGGAGATTATGGGAAAATAGTGTTACTAATTGGGAAACTAAAAGATATTTTGAACTTGTTTAAAAAATATTAAAAAAATATTATTATATTGAAAATAAAGAACATTGTTAATTGTAATTTGGGGCATGCTGCAACAAAATCAGACAAAGTGAACATTGGTATTACCAAGAATTTCAGGGATCAAAAATTTAGTTATTATCATCACAATTAGTTTTATAATGTCCCATTTGTTAAGTGATATGTAGAACTATCCCTATATAAAAATAGTTAATATGAAGCTAATTTACATTATGTCTACCATGGAATCCAAGAATTAAAGCACCATTAGAAGTATTTTGAAGAAAGAACAAGGTGAAAAAATTGCTCCTTACATTTTCAAAATAAATGATGCTCAGGCACTTGAAGCTTATCTAAGAAAAGAAAAGATTACCTATGAAATTTACCAAGAAGAAAGAAAAATAATAAATGTTAGAAAAAGAAAGCAGAAAGAAGATATGCTGTTATCCAACAAAAAGTGGAAACCCTTAGAAGGAAAATAATCTCATTGTTACAATATTAATTTAATTTAAATTTTTTTTACTATATACAAGAAAGAAACTTTCTCTTTTATGCAAATGAGATAAATAATTCTGCCTTGTTGTAAAAGAATCACCAATCCATTTTGTAACAATCCCTAGATTTTTTTGGAGATTCAACCAGTCCCTAAATTCTATTACCATATTCATAATGTGGAGAAATTCATTTTTGTTCCACTGGATGAACATGGATAATATTATTTGGGGAATTTGGCATTTATTTTATTTTATATTTATTTAAGAAGTTATCTTTCAATTATGGATTGTACTTTTCAGGAAGTTTATAAGCTTACCCACAAATATAGATATTAGATTCATTCATTTTTTATTTATTTATTTATATATTCCTAACAATTTTAAATTAATATTTAAAGATATAAAGTTAATTCAACTTTAACTTTTGTAATTTTACAACAATTAAATTACTTGTTGATTAAAAATTGTTCAATAATTGTAATAAATTATCTGAACATTTACACATTTATGGAACCCAAGAATTACAGCAACATTAGAAGTATTTTGAAGAAAGAACAAGGTGAAAAAATTGCTCCTTACATTTTCAAAATAAATGATGCTCAGGCACTTGAAGCTTATCTAAGAAAAGAAAAGATTACCTATGAAATTTACCAAGAAGAAAGAAAAATAATAAATGTTAAAAAAGAAAGCAGAATGAAAATGTTAATTACCCAACAAAAAGCAAAAATTCTTAGAAGGAAAATAATCACATTGTTACAATATTAATTTAATTTAATTTTTTTTTACTATATACAAGAAAGAAACTTTCTCTTTTATGCAAATGAGGTATATAATTCTGCCTTGTTGTAAAAGAATCACCAGTCCATTTTGTAACAATCCCTAGATTTTTTTGGAGATTCAACTAGTCCCTAAATTCTATTACCATATTCATAATGTGGAGAAATTCATTTTCGTTCCACTGGATGAACATGGATAAATATTATTTGGGGAATTTGCCATTTATTTTATTTTATATTTATTTAAGAAGTCATCTTTCAATTATGGATTGTACTTTTCAGGAAGTTTATAAGCTTACCCACAAATATAGATATTAGATTCTTTAAAAGCAAAAAGGTTAAGCATATCATATATTAAACAATGGTAATAAAAACAATTTATCTTACTTCATCATATAACAAGTCTTCAGATTTTTTTTCTAATCCCATCTCACAGAATACTTGAATCATTGACCTCAGCCAAGAAAATGCCACAGTATGAGCTTCATCTATATTCTTCATATTCACTAGCTCTTGGTGCATGATATTGCTTTTTGGTGTAGCAGGTGGATGCCCAGTTGAAGTTTTTGAATGAAAACACACGTATATTAATGGGTGAGATTTAGCAAGCTGGCAAACAGCCCTAGTTTTTCCATAACCAGATGATTGAATGACTGGCAGATAATTAAAATAGCCTTCTGAATTAGTAATTACATTCAATTGTTCTTTCAGTTCACGTATGAAATCATCATTGTCTTTATAATCAATGCTGAAAACTCTGCTTAATTCTAATGAAAGTAATAAATTAGTGTTAATGGGTAATAACAAATGCTTTAAAATTATACAAAAAAGACTAGCATCTGGTTACAAGCCTTTGGTTGTGAAAAGAGGTTCCCAACTCATACTTTCAATTCCTGTAAAGAAAAACAACAATAGTGGAAGAAGTAGTGTAGGTATGAAAACATAAGAATTATCAAAAGTTGCTTACCTTCCCCTAAAATAGATTGATTGATAGAAGCAGCAGAAAGAAAAAACTGCAAATTAGTTAAAGTTGTAAATGGTATATCAAACAAATAAATAAAACAAATGTAATGAACAAAAAATAATTTTTTGTCTATTTTTTTTACACAATTTGTTCGTTACCTTCCCTCCACCGAATTCTCTTAACGCCTTTCCCCATTCCTCCACTTGCCTCTTCCAATCGTCCTTGTCCCTCTTCAACTCCTCTTTTTCTTTGATCAAACTCTTTATTCGTCCTTCCCACCTCTCCTTCTGTTCTTTGTTCTTATATTCTTCGTTGTCCAACTTCTCCTCCAACTCATTCAACTTCACCTTCCACTCTACCTCCCAATCGTTCAACTTATTATCCACCTTCAATAACATCTCCTTTGCGTCTTTTAATTCGTTTTTAATTTTTTCGTATGTTGCCATTTTTTAAAATTAAAAATTTAATTAATTTTTTCAAAAAAAATTTTTTAGATCGTAATTGTTATAATTTATGCATAATGATAAATTAATGGGCACATGACTTGGAATTATTTTACAAATGGCAAAAAGAAAAAATTATTTTTATTTTAATATATACAACTAATAATAGAAAATACATAAATAATTTATAAAAATGTTAAAGAATTGTCAGAGTGCTTGCATGGGAGGAAAATACTTGGACACAAAGCCATTTGTAAGTAAAGTATTACCTATTCTTTGGGGGCACTGACAAAAATTCAACTTTCACTATTACTACTACTATTATTATTGATAATATTATCACTGATATTTATATCCTCATTGTTTTTATTATCTTCTTCGACTTCATTCTTCATCTCTTTCTTCTTTTCCTTTTCAACCCATTGCTGAATTGCTTCTATTGTTTTCTTTCTGGGATTGGTTTTTTGTTGGTAGAAGTTTTTTATTGTAGAAGCAGCAATTTCCTTTCCCTTTTCAAGTAATTCACGAATTTCAATAGCCATTTCATTAAATGAAAAATTGGGATTCAACCCAGTCTTTTTGTCAAATAATTGTTTGAAAACC